CACACACACACACACACACACACACACACACACACACACACACACACACACACACACACACACGCTCCTCATTTATTGTTCATATTTCTAAATAATACCTTGAAAGAAGTTCAGTCATTTTGAATTAATTGAAATAAAGCTACGTGTTTTAAAAGTCTGAGCCTTGTTTAGATTCCGGTAACTTTTGCCTTCAGGCAGTGTTTCTGTTTTGTTTGCTTTCCACTTGAGAGTTTTAGGAAGGAAAGATTTACACTGGGAGTTACTTGTGGGAAATGGAAACCTGTGTTGTGTGCCTGCCCATCTTTAAGTGACCCAGCTTTTTGTGTTCCTTTTCTTCAAACTGGAATATCTGGACCTCACACTATCCTGTGATCCTGAGCTCTGGGATCAACACTACAGTACCAGCCAGGTGCTATCAGAATTTCATATTTGGTCAGAAGAAAAAGGCTGGAAAAAAAATAATAGTTTCAAAGTGGTTTTACTTAAAAATAAGTATTGATGTGCTGTTAATATTACAGTGACATTCACAACATATTCAAGCCTGAAGAGTGAGACTTGTAATCTGTTAGCATCTATAATATAAAAGTTGTTTTTGTTCTAGGGGACTCTTCATCACTATCCACGACAAAGGCCACATATCTTCAATCCTCCAAAACTGGCCGGAAAAAAACATCAAGGTAAATAACCTTTATATTAATAAAGTTGTTTTTTTTCTGTCGCAGTTACATTGGTTTTAGAGTAGTGTGAACTAAAAACATGTTTGGAGCCTACAGAAACTGATCTAGTCCAGATTAAGTCTACTGAATAACTGATCAGATTCTACTGAGGCAGAAAATTCAACAAATCAAAAGTACAAACTTATAAAACTGCAGATAATCGGATAGATGGTACAAAACCTGCAGAAATGACACTGATCTGATGGTGAAAAATAAAAAGGGGGTGACAAATAAAATATTAAAGGCCTAACGATCCTTTGAGGAATGCCTGTCACCTAACAGTTCTCATCTTAAGGCCCTGTCACACTATGACTTTTAGACAACATATTTCAACTTATGAAATGTTTTTTTTTTCACTAAATGACAAATAAAAGTTAGATATTTGATTAATTTGTTAGCATTACAGTATGTACATGCCTAAAAGAGGCTTCTAGTTGATTTTTCCCCCCATCTTCAACATAGATGTCTTTTAAAATGTTCACAAGTTGGCATAAGTTGTCCAAAACATTACAGTGTGACAGGGCCTTTAGTTTGAGAATGGATTGACTTACGGTACAACTGTTCATCAAAGAGCAGATCAATTTCCATGAAGTCGTCTGAATTGGTGCCATTTTGTCTTGGCTAAGATTGATTAGCTTTATCAGACTACCAAACTATTTTAATTAAATTTTAATCTAAATTAAACTGTTACAAAAAACAGTAAAATGTTCTTAACTGAATTGTAACCCCAATTCCAAGGAAGTTGGAACATTATGTAAAATATAAATAAAAATCGAATACCATTTTTACACAATGTCCCAACTTTATTGGCATCGGGATTGTACATTTGAAAAATAGATGTTCTTATATTGATTTCCTAATGAACTGACCTGTTTCTTTAACAGTGTTCAAACATACAGGTCAGATTTAGGATGACGACACCGGCAGGTATTCCTGGCATGTCAAATATACCTGCAGCCTCAGCCACCTGTTCCCAGCTGTCAACAGCAGGACATTTACTGCGCCTCAGCTCTGCTTATTCTCAGGGGCTCTTATCATAACCTCACCTTACTTTCAGTAGATCAGAAGGGTAAGGGCAAACAAGAGCCCAGGCAGTCCTCAACGGATAAGCCTTATCAGCTTCTGTAACATATTAACAAGTGACAGGCTAAAAAATTAAGAAAATCAAGTAGAAAACCCAATTAAAGACATTCTAAACTTGTCAGATTATGGAAGGAACATGGCTGAAAAAGATCCGAGTCAGAGGCATCTGCATCACAACAAGGATAAAAAAATAATAATAATTAAAGACTGTTTCTAAATGAAGGGATATTTGTATTTTAACTCTTCCACTGCTGATATTACCATAAGTGTTACACAACTGATTTGATTTATATGATGGAATCAATCCAGTGGAGAAAATTCTCATTTACTGAGTTTGGCAACTAGAAAGTGGAAAATCAGGAGTGTGTAGGACAGCCTGGCTTCTGCTGAGGAAAAATGCACAATCACTGTTACCAGAACAAGTTTAAAGAACAATTAAACTGAGAAAGTATTGCTTTATTTTCTAAATTATTCAGTGATATTCCCATTATCCAAAAGCTAAAATACAAATATATTTCTATACCTGTGATCTCTTCTAAGCAGCACTTGGTGAAACAGATTTCCAGGTATATGGTGTACTGACAGTGAAACTGATTGACAGGCAGTGTGTGTGACGGATGGAGAGAGGATCCTTGGACTGGGGGATCTGGGATGCAATGGCATGGGCATCCCTGTTGGAAAGCTGGCTCTGTACACAGCCTGCGGAGGCATGTCGCCACAGCAGTGCCTGCCCGTCATGCTGGATGTCGGCACAGATAATGAGGTAAGAGCTGGCATCTAAATATAAGAGCCTATTTGCAGACTATTTACAAAAATACAAGCAGTCCATGCTTTTTGGTTTTACATACAGCTGTCAGAAATTGACGTCTGCTCATCTTTGCTGTTTGTCATTTGGCCTCCTGAATGGGATGTTATAAATATCAGCATTTTATTATTTGGTCAATCTTGAGTAAAGTCTTTTTTCATTTTCATGGTTTGCATGAATGAGCTCTGTTGGTCAAGCTTTACAACGATCTGTGGTTGTTTGAATCATTCAATGAAAGCATCAGAAAGAACTGTTGACTTAACGTATCCCCATTAGTATTAAGCATAGAGAGACATATTTTGTCTTGAATACAGAGCTAGAGTGCACAAGAACAGCTTCTTTTTCACTCAAGAATCGTATTTCATAGGGATGCACCGATATGAAAATTTCAGCCGATATTGATATCCGATATAATTATTGGTGTTATGGCCGATAACCGATATTTACAGATATTACACAAACATCCAAATTATATTATACATATACGCAAAAACACACTTGGGTTTTTTTTGATACAGTAAGTAAATGACCAGACCTTTGACATGGCTCCCTACTTCAGTTATTCCTGGCGCAGCATCAATATCACTATTAGGGCTGTGTATTGGCAAGAATTTGGCGATACGATACATATCATGACAGAGGGGTCACGATACGATAT